AAACGTTAAAAGTTCTGGGTCTGATCCTCAGTTGTTATAAACTGGTGCTAAGTCTATTGAGGGTAATATAGCTATGCTGATTTACACCAGTTGAGAATCTAGCCTATTATCTCCTAATAGCCTCTGAAAACACTTTAATTTTATTTGAGAGAACCAACTATAAACCTATGTCACCATATTAGCCCGGCTGGCTGGGGTTTGAGATACAGGCTTTTGGCTGTTTGGCAGCAGAAAGCTATGCTACTTAATTACACTTTTGCACACAAACAAGCTCTCTGCTCTCTCATATAGCTATGCTGATTTACACCAGTTGAGAATCTAGCCTATTGTCTCCTAATATCCTCTGAAAGCACTTTAATTTTATTTGAGAGAACCAACTATAAACCTAAGCTTCTGGTATGGGAGAGAAAAAAGGAATGGGGGGCTGATAGACAGCCAGCTATTTTATTCCAGGACACTAAAGAGAGGGACTCAGCTGACTTTATTTTCCTTCTGGTTAGCATATCCTGAAGGCAAGAATTTTTCCAACCTGAGTGAGATCATCTTTGGCCTGTGAAATCATTAACTGCATGAAACTCCAGTGATGATACATATCACTGTGCAAGAGCACTAACATTAATTACTCTAATGAGACTATCCTGTCATTTCCAATGAAATATTCAAATAGGAGAAACTTAGTACTTACATTAGTTCTCTTGTTCTTGTGCAGGATTTCATAATGCAGGAGTTATTTAAACTTTCTGATGTTTGCCAAGATCTTCGTTACCATGAAAATTACTGGTTTGGACTGTCATATAACACAGCCATTAAGAAGTGGGTGTGGGAGGATGGCAGCACTTTATCCTCTCATCTGTAAGTATCTCTTGGCATTTTAACTCATGTTTGCAATAGGATTAAAGGTATCTGCCTTAAATGAAATGTGAAATCTGACTTTGCATTCCAGGTTTCAAATCCCAGAAAATAATTATAAATTTTATCGGAATGGGGTTTGTCCCTATTTTCAAGGTGAAAAAGTCCTTGCTGGAGATTGTTGGCAATTGGGATATACTATCCGTGAGAAGAAAGGAAGATTTAGTGCCTGACTGGATTAAGACACCAAGAAAAGAAGATGAAGCAGAATGGAACAAAGATAAGTATAGCCCAGGACTTTTGAATTGATAAGAGACTGGTCCCTTGGGATATTACAAAACAACATATATTGTTATGTACAATTTTATTAAACAAAACTGGTTTTAATGATCGGGGCAAATATTGAGGGATTAGGAATGTGGAGCAGCAGCCTCATTTGATACACTACATCCTTGAGAATGTTCCTTATCTGGTCAAACTTCTCCCACAAGCCTGAATAAAGGAGAGATTCTGCTCTTAGTTACACAGGGGTAAAATGGTAGTAACTCCTTTGAAGTCAATGGAGTTACTCCTGATTTACACCTCTGCAAATGAGAGCAGAATTTCTCAGTTCAGAATCACAGGGAGCTAAACACGAGCACACTAAAGAGGAGTTTCATCACTAGAACTGATTTTAAAGCAAAAGAAGAGTATTGATGCACCCTAAAGTTTCTTTGGCTTGTCATTCCTACCTGCTTTCCTCTTATCATTTTTAGAGCCATGAGCTCAAACCAGTGACCTGAACCAGATCTGAACCCCTGCAAAGTTTGGGAAGTTCTGACCTGGGTATTACTTCTACAGTTTGGGCCTATCTCTCATTATTTTAAATGACTGTTTGATATAGTCTGTCTCTCTCCCTTCCAGCATGGTTCTTCCTGCTGCTGGAGCTTGGAGTGATGTCGGAACATTACTAGATAGTAGGAAACAGTAGGACATCAAAAGCTCAGCTTTATGACCTCACTGCAAGATGAGATTAGATGGGCTGGGAAGCAGCAAGCCCACTAGACCTAACGGGTCACATTCCATTTGCACACCAGTGCCATCTCTAGGGCCTCTTGTGAATGCAGAAAGAGATTGACTTAAACACTTCTTGGAACCATATTTATAATTAGAGCCCTACCAAATTCACAGTCCATTTTTTGCAAATTTCATGGTCACAGAAGTTTTAAAAACTTGAATGTCATGGTTTCAGATATGGAAATCTTAAATGTCATGGTGTTGGAACAGAGCATGAATATGTATTTTTAAATGGCAAAATATAAACATGTAAAGTCTTTAAGTCAGAGTTGCTCAAACTGGGAGGTTGTGGGGTGAAGGGGGGGAGGTTGCTAGGCTACTGTCGGGGGAGTCACAGTATTGCCACCCGAACTTCTGTGCTGCCTCCCCAGCTAGGTCGCCAGAGAGCAGCAGCACCAACGCTAACAGCAGCGCCAATGCCCGCAGCAGCAGAGAAGTGAGGGCGGCAATACCGTGCCGTGTGGTGTTCTGCCTCCTAACCCTCCACCCCTCAGCAAATGGGATTGGAGACACTTTCCGCATCCACGAACATCTGTCACCAGTTATGACAGGGTAAGGTGGCAGAAATTCTTTAGTGGGCATTTACACTGGCAGTGGATCTGGCTCTTTTTCTGGCAATCAGCCACCACAGTGAGAAAAGTTGGAAAACCACGTTAAGGGAAACAACAAACAGACACAGAACTATAGCGTGTATAAGAGACAGAAAGAGAGAAAACAGTGACTCTGTCTGTAATATTTTGCATCTGAAATGAGCTGCTCTACAAAAATGGAAAAAAGTCATAGCACTGCTGCCACTCCGTTAAATAAATGCCTTGTATTTAAATTGATGACAGAATCCTAACATCTCCTCATGCATGTGTGTGGGTACACACATACACACTTATCAAATTTGCCATTCTGTGCTAAGAATCTTCATCTATATTTTTGTAAATTTTCCAAGATTATGTAAACTTTTAGCTGATCAAAGCCTCTCATGCATCTGGAGTTTCCAGGCACCGTGAGCGCCTCAATTAATACAAAAGACAAACCAGTACTTTAGCAAAGGTTTCAGAGTAGCAGCAGTGTTAGTCTGTATTCACAAAAAGAAAAGGAGTACTCCTTTTCTTTTTGCTTTAGCAAAGTGAATTCCAAGGTGGTCAGGCAATTCAAATTGAAACTCTCTCTTGTAAAGATACATATGTCCACCCCCGCAGAGTTTTGGTGAGAAATACAGCACATATACAAGCCAGTTACCACTTCCTGTGTAGTGTCAGCCAAAGAAGGCACATAAGAGTCCAGTTCATATACATGATATCTGTGACAGACCCAGGGTTGGACACTGCTATGGCGTGATATGCTGTTATTTTTCTCCCCTTTAAATATTGTTTGAGGTAAAATGCCCTCAAGATAGAATGCTAACAGTCATTTTGGGCCTCCTTTGTTCACTTCAGTGTAAAATCAGGGTACTCAGCACCTTAGGATCTCACTTTGGGAAAGCAAAATACTTCATTGCATCTTAAGAAATAAAAGTATTGACCCAAACTGTATTGATGGACCCTAGCCAGCTACCAAAGGACTGTGACCTGGATTCACAAAAGGTCCTTAGATGTTGTGATGCTGAGCATTGCAACACCTCACTTTTGGGCACCTAGAAAGACATAGGAACACACTGTGATATACATGCACACTGAGTTAGGTGTCTAGGCTCCTTATACAAGGAATGGAGAGAGACAAGCAGAATGGGATTCAGAGAAGCCAGGACACTAGGCAGGGATGTGTCTTAAGCCCCACCCCACTCAGGGAGATAGGAGCCTGAGTCCAGACTGCACAGAGGTGCTTAGCCCTGATAGCGATTCACGCATAGGAACCCCTGTTCTGGAGGCAGTCAGCGTAGGCACCTAAGCCACTTCTTGTGAGAATGAGTTAGTCAGGTGCCTAACTCCACACAAAACAAATGGAGTAGAAAATGGTGGTGCCTACCTCTAACCAGGGGTTAGAGTACTTGTCTGGGATGTGGGAGAACCAGGTTCAATTTCTCTCCCTCACTTGGTAGGGAGAAAGAATTAACACCAGGCTCTCCCACTACTCAGGACAACATGCTCTAATCATGGGGTTAAAAGCTATTTTATAGTCGCCTTCCTCACTCTCTGCTGTTGAAGTTGTTCCAGTCTGGATAAATAACTAAAAAGTGACTGGAGCAGGGGGACTGGACCCTAGATCTCCCCCTCCCAGCTGAGTGTCCTAAGCCATGGACTAGAGTCACTGTCTTGGTATTTAAAGTTATTTTACTGTGTCTAAATACTTAAATAATCAATAAGAAAAGGAGTACTTGTGCCACCTTAGAGACTATCCAATTTATTTGAGCATAAGCTTTCGTGAGCTACAGCTCACAAGCTTATGCTCAAATAAATTGGTTAGTCTATAAGGTGCCACAAGTACTCCTTTTCTTTTTGTGAATACAGACTAACACGGCTGTTACTCTGAAACCTGTCATTAAATAATCAATGGGACAGGAAGAGAATGGCTGCAGGGCCCAGTTCACCTGCTCCACTCACTCTTTAATTATTTATCCAAACTGGAACAACTTCATCAGGAAAGGCAGAAGAAGCCTCACATCAGATTACTATGCCACAGGAAACATAATCCCAGCAAAGGATGTTTTTATGGTACACCCAGCTCCACTGAAAACAGAAAACTGTGGAAACCTCATGTGAAAAGTCTGTTTGCTCAGGGTCTGAGTCTGACGGTAAAAAATGCCACTGACTTCAAGACTAGCAGCCTCAAGCTTTGTAAAAGTTTGGATGCCTATTAAAAAAAAAATCTTACAAGCCCCAGATATTTTCAGATAAGATTTATATGTCACTAATTATAAAATAGACTATAAAGCATGCAAAATAATCCATATGATTATTCTAATACATTTATCCCTGTTCCATGCAGACACTTCTGAGATGAGGGTGGCAAGGTGAAAAATAGACTTAGCCCTTCTCTCCACTGGGATGTTAGTCACTAGTGTAGTTGCCCTGTGGCAAATTACTAGTGTAGACACAACTGACATCAGTGCAGTGAGGTTTGCTCTGGGACAGCTTCCCCTCAACTGGAGTAAGCTTCCCCAATGTAAATCATACTGAACCAGTATAGATCACCAATGCAACTATACTAGTGACTAAAACCCTAGTATAGACAAGGCCTGAAATTCACAGTAAAATGACATGCACTTGTACATGCCCTGAGCAAAGGGTGCCATATAAAGTATAATATCCAAAGCCTCTGTCACCACTAAATCTTGACTTCAAATCCAGCAGCTCATTGTTATTCGCAGAGTACCTATGCTGTCACAACATTAAGACAAAATAGCGATGTAGTCATCAATTTATTCACGCAGCACATAAGGCATTGCCACATTTGTCACAGAGTAGCCATGTCTGCTATTCACACAGCAGATTAGATATCACCACCATGTAATTTTCACAATACTCTACCATCACCTTTTATTCTTACCCTATCCATGTAATCACTATATTGTTTTCATATTAGCTGTGTCATGACAGTAACCAGATGTATTTTACAATGATAAAATAACATCTCAAAAAACTAAAGCAATTACCCCAGGAGCTAGAGACTGAAAGGATAAATGTACAAGAAAATAAATTGCTCTGCATCACTTGGGCAGAACAAAGGCTCATCAGATGCCTTCCCTGACAGTGTGATCTCAGTGAGGATTTCTCTCTGAGATGGTGGGATGGGAGCTTTTACTCTTGAGCAACCCTTTGACGCCTCAGCCATCACTTACCAGGGACGGCAGGTTTGTATAATTTTTGGTAGTGCCCAGAATGGGTCCAAGTCCCCCCCTCCTCCCCAAGGCTCTGGGAGGGAGTTTGGGTGCTCGGTGCAGGCTGTGGGCTGGGGCAGGGGGTTGGGTGCAGGAGGAGTTGGGGGGGCAGACTCTGGGAGGGAGTTTGGGTGCAGAAGGGGGTTTGGGGTGCAGGCTCTGGGACAGAGTTTGGGTAGAGGAGGGGTGCAGGCTCCGGTAGGGAGTTTGGGTGCTGGGTGTGGGCTCTGGGCTGGGACAGGGGGTTGGGATGAAGGAAGGATGCGGGGGGGAGGGGGGTTCGGTGTGGGACCAGGGTGTGGGGCTGAGCCAGGGATGAGGAGTTTGGGGTGCAGCAGGAAGGCTGCCCTGGGGCCGGGGTAGGGGGCCAGAGAGGAGGACTCCCCCAGCCCTCTTGGTGTCGGCAGCAGCAAGCTCTGGGGGAGAGAGGGGCTCCTCCCCCCAGCCTGACACTCACCCAAGCCCCCCCAGGCTATTGCTCAGGAGGTCCAGCCAAGATAAGCCCCTCCCCACTCAGAGTCACCTGCCGGGGGGGGGGCTGCCATGCACCTCCTCCCTCCGCAGGTGCAGCAGCCACCTTAGCCTGCCCCCAGTGCTGCTCCCTTGTAGCTGGCAGCGGCTGGTGAGGAAGTGCAGTGTGGAGCTGCAGGGGAAAGCCGCCCACTGCCCAGGGCAGGCAGGGACACTCCGGGGGAGGCACGCAGGGGCGACAGGCAGGGCCGGGGTGGCAGGCAGGGCTGAGGGAGAGACCTGGCCCAGAACATTGGTGGAGCTGGGACCCCAGGCCCTGAATTTGCTGGAGCCTGGGCACCACGGGCCCATACAACTAGCCACCCCTGCCACTCACCACAAAATAAGACACATTCCTGCATCAAGTGGTACGTTAATATAAAGAAAAGGAGTACTTGTGGCTGTAGCTCACGAAAGCTCATGCTCAAATAAATTGGTTAGTCTCTAAGGTGCCACAAGTACTCCTTTTCTTTTTGCAAAGACAGACTAACACGGCTGTTACTCTGAAACCTACGTTAATATAGCTATTTCTGCTGCATCCCTTAACATTCAGGGTATTTCATTCTATCAGAATACACAGGGTCCACTATTCTGCAGTTGGTTATGGCATAAAGCACCTGAGAGGTCCATACATGGGGTGGAATGTTTACAAGTAATGTTACCCTTCATCTGATTGGGCCCTCAGTCAATAGAGGAGTTAGAGATGGAAAAGACTTATTTGGTAACACCTAATCCATCCACTTTCTTATCTCTAGGGCCAGTTCAAGATTGTGTCCTATAGCATATTCTCTTTTAAAAGGTTCAAGCAATGGCACTTCCAGCACTTCCTTGGAGGGGAATGGGAGTGGGGGGAGCGGGTAGGATGACTTCCAAAAATCCTCACGGTTAGGAAATGGTTCTTGATATCCACCTGTAATTTCCCTTCATTCCTTTTCATCCAGTTTCCTCCCACTTACATGCTTTGGAACCAAAGCAATCCCTTGCCACCCATGGTGTCCACCTCTTGTAAATCCTTGTAGACAGCTTTCATAGAATCATAGAATATCAGGTTTGGAAGGGACCTCAGGAGGTCATCTAGTCCAACCTCCTGCTCAACGCAGGACAAAACAACTTTCAGTCCCATCCACATAGTTGCTATTGCTGCAGGTCAGAGCCTTCTCTTCACATGTATGACTGGAAAAAGCAGCAAAAGTGGGGGTGTCATGGGTGACAAGTCTTTTAACCACCCCCACCCTTCTCCCTGTGGTGGTACTGGAATGCTTCCTTGTCACAGATTTCATTCACTCAAAGCTGTACAACTTCATAACTGAGCACCACCTTGAGGCCACTCAGAATGATTGTTTCTGTTTGGTCGGTCCCCTTCAGTGCAGCCAATCATGATGTAGAGAGGCATTTGAGTGGTGCAGGATATATTTCTCAATTCCGAGTTGGGAGTCCCTTCTGGATCCTAGTGTTTATTTCAGAATTTCCCACCCTCCTAACTACATTCTGCATTAAAAAAAATTAGAGGAACTTTCCCAACACACACTCCATTCTGATTTCCAGAGGGGTCAGCCCCTTGTTTCCCCAAAGAGGGGCAAAGTCAGAGATCCACTCCTTCCCAGTACACAGAGGCATGCTTCAGAGCACAGTGTAGTCCCTGTCGAGACTCCTCAAATCAACGCCAGCCACATCAGCATATAGTTCAGGCACCACCAGCTCAGGCACCTGGAGCACCACTTGGTCATTGCTGCTCTTGGCTGCTGTTTGCAGGCGCTTGATCAGCTCTCTGGGTGGCGGCCGGTCTGTAGCACTCCACCGCCAGCAGGACTTCATGATACCATACCTGTAAGACAGAGGAGTGGTGCGAAGCCAGGAATGAGGCACAAGGACAAATTTATGCTACAAAGGAATCCCCACCCCTCAGTGAAAACTCTGGAGACCACACCTTGATCTCATCTACATACACAGCTAGCATAAGGGACCTTTGAAATCGCACACTTGCTAGTATTAGAATTCACCTATGAGAATGGAATGGGGGAGGAGGGGTAATGTTCATTAAGTCATACCACTTCCTTGATTATTGAGAGAGCTACCAGGACTCCTTGTTGAATATCCAGGGGCTCTTTTGTCCAGGACTGATGTCAGCACAGGAGGTACTGTCCCACTAAGATTATTCATTCATTTAGGGGAGAATTCAAGTTATTATCAAGGAGACTCCTGTACCATTTGGAAGACCTGATCACTGCTTTGACATTTCCTCTAATTTCTGAGAGTCAAGAAAACCAGGTTCAAATTGGGGTAGACCCAGATGGAACAACAGCACAGCAGGACAGATGGGGGATCAAAGTGGCAAGAATAAACTTCAAGAGAAGGAAGGAGACCTTTGGGCAGTCAAAGTTTCATACAGTAGCATCCCAAAGAGATTAAAGAGATCTGTTAGAGCACATCATGTCCATCCTCCCATATCTCCTTAGCCAATAAATGATTGCTGCCTAGTCTATTCTCCAGGCTTTTTTTGAGTCCTAGTTTTAAGTGTTCCAAGTGACTGGCCTCCTCTGTTTCCTTCCTTCCTATAGTCTCATAGCGTGTGATTTTTAAAGGTATTTAGGCACCTAACTCCCACTGAAATCTATGGGAGTTAGGCACCTACAAATCTTTTTTTTAAAAATCTGTTCCATAGTCCCTCACTGTTATTTAATGTTCCTCAATATCCAGCCTCAACTTTCCCTTTACTCACTTTCATTCAGTTTAGCATTTGCAATACTCTTTTTTACCAGTACCAGAGAAAATAACTTAGCTCCTTTATTATTTACATCCTACAAATATTCTAGTCCATTCTATCCCCCTCAGATATAAGAACATAAGAATGGCAAAACTGGATCAGGCCAATGGTCCTTCTAGCTCAGTATCCTGTCTTCTGACAGTGGCCAGTGCCAGGTGCTTCAAAAGGAGTGAACAGAACAAGGCAACTGTCAAGTGATCCACCTCCTGTCGCTCAGTCCCAGCTTCTAGCAGTCAGAGTTTTAGGAGTTGCATCTCTGACCATCTTGGCTAATAGCCATTGATGGACCTATCCTCCATGAACTTACCTAATTATTTTTTTTAACCCAACCATACTTTTGGCCTTCACGATATCCCCTGGCAATGAGTTCCATAGTTTGACTGTGCATTGTGTAAAGAAGTAGTTCACTATGTTTGTTTTAAACATGCTGCCTATTTTCATTGGGTGACCCCTGGTTTTTGTGTTATGTGAAGGGGTAAATATCACTTCCTTATTCACTTTCTCCCCACCAGTCATGATTTTATAGACCTCCATTATATCCCCCCCTTAGTCAACTCTTTTCCAAGATGAACAGTACCAGTCTTTTTAATCTCTTCTAATATGGAAGCTGTTCTATACCCCGAAGCATTTCTGTTGCCTTTCTTTGTATTTTTTCCAGTTCTAATATATCTTTTCTGAGAAGAGGCGATCAGAACTGCACACAAAATTCAAGGTGTGGTCATACCAAGGATTTATATAGTGGAATTATGATATTTTCTGTCTTATATATCCCTTTCCTAATAGTTCCTAACCTCTCTATTCAAATCTTTCCTCCACTCCCTTAATCATTCTCAGAATTCCTCACTAGTCTGTCAACATCTTTCTGGTAGTGAAGTGCTCAGATATAGACTGAGACTGAAAAAAAGAAGAAAACCCTTAGCAAGTAGTAGCAAGGACAGTGTGTGATCTTTGAGGGTAGGTGTAAATACTGTAAGACAGTGGTGTGCAAACTGGGGGATTACCCCTCTGGGGAGGGGGGTGCAGGAGGTTCCCTGAGAGGAGCATAAAGAAACTTGTATCCCATGGGTCCCGCTGGACCTGCCGCCATAATAGCAGGAGCAGGGAACAGAGTGGGTATTGCAAGATGGGTGTGGAATTAATAAAATAGTCCTCCCATGCCACAAACAAAATGAATGCCCTGGCCAGCAGATGCCGTTCTCCAGCACCCAGCTCTAAAGAGAGCACCATAACCAGCAACAGCACAAAAGTAGGGGATTACTTCAGATTACAAGTAATGGTGGGGTGGGGAGACAAATTCAATGAATGGTAAGAGGGATGCGACTGGAAAAATTTGCAAACCGTGGCTGTAAGAGCTTCTCCATGCAGCTCTGAGCTGGGAGCAGAGTATAAGCCCCACCACTCAGATCAGGTTAGAAGAAGAGGAAGCCCCTTACATAGCTGGCTGGCAGGTGGAGGGCCTCTTCATGACCTTCCTTCTCTGAAGGTGTTGTAGGATATGAGAAGGTGGCACCTCAGGAAACGGTGGAGCCCCTGGAAGAGAAAAATGAACAACAAAAGTTAAAATTATCAGAGAAAATGATTTCCAAGTTCCAGCTCCTACATGAGGCCTATCCTCTTTCCTACCACAAATAAACCAGTGAAGGTGTGATGCCAACTTTCCTTTCCCCTCAAAGAAATGCTGAGTGATGAATCATGAAAGGTTAACACCTGGTGGCTGGACAGGGTAATTGCACAGAGCAAAAGTAGCATCTGTAACTAGGTTAGGGTGGCCAATTGTCCAGGTTTTTCCAGGATGATTCCTTTAACGTCGCTGTCCCAGATTAAATGGTTCGGATGTCCCAATTTTTTGCAGCTCAGAAGTGACAGCCCTAAACCACAGTGTGGAAATGTGCAGCATAAAGTAAGGTGAGGAATAAGGGTGACACACTGTGGCAACATACAGGAACTGCAGTCTTTTAATCACTTAAATTTTTTATTCTTTTTTGGTCTTTCCTATCTCTCTCTTCTTCCCATGTTTGTAAGGCCAGAAGAAGAGAGGCACATTTTTAGATACAGCATAAGTTGCATCCTTATTTGGGGAATACGAAGATAACTGCTGGAGAAGCCCCTCTAAAAATGTGCTTAATATCAGAAATGGAATCTGGAGTGATGAGATAGCACAGAGTTTAAAGAATGGGATATGGAACCTTTCATGGAACCTTTCATTTCTAGGGCAATGTTTCCAGAATAACTAGGAGGACTAGATGGCTCAGGAAGATTGTGGAATAGGGGGCAGAGCCTTTCTTTTTTAAGTTATCTGACACTAGGTGAGTAAACGTAGAAAGATATTCTCATCTGAAGGCTGTTCTGTTGTCTCTGTGAAATGAGTTGTAGAGGTCTCAGTCCAGTTCCTAGCAAACAGAAGTGACCACATGACATAAAAGACACCATGGCCATTTCCCACACACTCTTGATTCTGATGTTGCATGCAGCAGCAGTAGAATGTAGCCTATCTTTTTTTCTGTAGCCATACTGCCAATGTAATTCAGGCCCATAAGTCAAAATTTTCAACCTTGGGTGCCTAAGGTTAGGCACCAAAATCCATATTTATGCTCCTAAAAGGGCATCCTGATTTACTAAGGTAAATCCCATTGACAGGAAATCCAAAAGGAGTAGTGGATGATATACACCTTTGAAAAAAATCAAACTGTTTATTTAAACACCTAACTGTACACATTCAGGTTTGAGACTGTTAGCCTGAGCTGTCCCTTGACACTCCAGCCTTTCCCTAGGATTTTATTTTTTCTTCTTACCTAATGTGATCATCTCATACAGTAAGATTCCAAAGGACCATCTGTAAGAAAACACAGTGTCAGTTTCACTGGCAGGTCTTATTCCAATCTCTAGCCTGAAAGCAACTGAAAAAAGCAAGGTAATAATTTAAACATATGATAACAATGAGGGTGAGCTGGGGAGGTGAGCAGAGGGAGGAAGGGGCAAGCCACCAGGTGGAGCTCCATGCTGGAAGCAAGGGTGAGCCCTACAGTGGAGTTTTGATCTGTGGATCAGAACACAGTGTTGTGTGAGGAATTGAAAGTGATAGATAAGGTTTGAAAGCTAGATATAGTTTCACCCCAGAACAAACCATACATGTCTGCCTTGATGCTGGGAGGTTTCATTAATAGCCGCTCTGGTGCCTGCCACTTGAGTGGCACAATCTGTCTGACACAGCTGGTGCCATAGGTGTGGGTTTCACACGCCAGACCCAGCCCACAGAGTTTGGCAGTGAAGTCAGACTGAATCAGGACATTTCTGGCTGCCACATCCCCATGGAAAAGTTTCTTCTGCTGGAGAAATTCCTAGCAAGTTGGAAAAAGGGGAAGAGTTAGTTGTTTTTCTCTTTAACTGACTGAAAAAAATCAATTAATTTATGCCCTTTGCCCCCACCAATGATGCATGCACCACAGTGACCTGGGTCCCTGGCAGCCAGCCATGTGGTGAGTGTACCTGGCACACCTACATAATATCACGAGGAGCTTTTATCAGAGGAATATTCTCATTGGTTAGGCCAAGAAGTTCCAATACCACACAAAGATCTATCATGCTTCCTCAGCCCTTTGGCCTTTCATGCAAAATTCCTAAGGAAACTCACTTCAGCTACCACCACTGAAAGCAGCCACCTATAGTGAATATCCATCAGCAGGGTCCACACCTAATCCACCAAGGGGAGGTGGGGGTGGGAAAATCCACCAATAAAGGTCCTTGCTCCTACTGAAGGGAAAATCCACCAGTCAGGTGATACCCACTTCTACTGGATGGGAAAATTGTGATTGCAGAGCCATTGGCAATTATCTTTGAAAACTCGTGGCGAACCGGGGAAGTCCCGGATGACTGGAAAAAGGCTAATGTAGTGCCAATCTTTAAAAAAGGGAAGAAGGAGGATCCTGGGAACTACAGGCCAGTCAGCCTCACTTCAGTCCCTGGAAAAATCATGGAGCAGGTCCTCAAAGAATCAATCCTGAAGCACTTGCATGAGAGGAAAGTGATCAGGAACAGTCAGCATGGATTCACCAAGGGAAGGTCATGCCTGACTAATCTAATCACCTTTTATGATGAGATTACTGGTTCTGTGGATGAAGGGAAAGCAGTGGATGTATTGTTTCTTGACTTTAGCAAAGCTTTTGACACGGTCTCCCACAGTATTCTTGTCAGCAAGTTAAGGAAGTATGGGCTGGATGAATGCACTACAAGGTGGGTAGAAAGCTGGCTAGATTGTCGGGCTCAACGGGTAGTGATCAATGGCTCCATTTCTAATTGGCAGCCGGTATCAAGTGGAGTACCCCAAGGGTCGGTCCTGGGGCCGGTTTTGTTCAATATCTTCATAAATGATCTGGAGGATGGTGTGGATTGCACTCTCAGCAAATTTGCGGATGATACTAAACTGGGAGGAGTGGTAGATACGCTGGAGGAGAGGGATAGGATACAGAAAGACCTAGACAAATTGGAGGATTGGGCCAAAAGAAATCTGATGAGGTTCAATAAGGATAAGTGCAGGGTCCTGCACTTAGGACGGAAGAACCCAATGCACAGCTACAGACTAGGGACCGAATGGCTAGGCAGCAGTTCTGCGGAAAAGGACCTAGGGGTGACAGTGGACGAGAAGCTGGATATGAGTCAGCAGTGTGCCCTTGTTGCCAAGAAGGCCAATGGCATTTTGGGATGTATAAGTAGGGGCATAGCGAGCAGATCGAGGGACGTGATCATTCCCCTCTATTCGACATTGGTGAGGCCTCATCTGGAGTACTGTGTCCAGTTTTGGGCCCCACACTTCAAGAAGGATGTGGATAAATTGGAGAGAGTCCAGCGAAGGGCAACAAAAATGATTAGGGGACTGGAACACATGAGTTATGAGGAGAGGCTGAGGGAGCTGGGATTGTTTAGCCTGCAGAAGAGAAGAATGAGGGGGGATTTGATAGCTGCTTTCAACTACCTGAAAGGGGGTTCCAAAGAGGATGGCTCTAGACTGTTCTCAATGGTAGCAGATGACAGAACGAGGAGTAATGGTCTCAAGTTGCAGTGGGGGAGGTTTACATTGGATATTAGGAAAAACTTTTTCACTAAGAGGGTGGTGAAACACTGGAATGCGTTACCTAGGGAGGTGGTAGAATCTCCTTCCTTAGAGGTTTTTAAGGTCAGGCTTGACAAAGCCCTGCCTGGGATGATTTAACTGGGAATTGGTCCTGCTTTGAGCAGGGGGTTAGACTAGATGACCTTCTGGGGTCCCTTCCAACCCTGATATTCTATGATTCTATGAAAATCTGCCAAGGAGGACATTCTATTCCTAAAAGAGTGAAAATCACTAATTGAGAGACCTTCCTCTTCCACTGAGAGGGAACATCTGCTCTAACTAGTGAGAAGGGAGAGGGTGAATCCATCCAGTGGGGGAATCCAGTCCTGCTGAAATGGAAAATCCAATAGTGGGGAAACCCATTGCCTCCTATCTTTTCCCTGTTACTCTTGTGTGTGCTTCCCCCTTTCTTTGCTATAACATTTTCATTCATGAAACAGAAGGGCATTTTGGGTTTCTCTAATAATATTCTGTTCAGCATTATTATTGTATTTGTGAGATTCGCAAATCTTTTTCTAGCTGGGTTAAATATTTGTATTCCAGTAGTGCCTAAAGGCCGCAACTAAGATCAGGCCCCATTGTGCAAGGCACTGTACAAACACATAGTAAGAGAAACCCCTGCCCCAAAGAGCTTACAGTCTAAATAGAAATGTATTATTATCCCCATTTTACACACAGGTGACTGAGACACACAGAGCTTAAGTGACTTGCCTAAATTTGTGACAAAGCTGGCCATTGAACATTGATGTTTTGAGTTTTTGTCCAGTGCCTTAATCATACTACCATCCTTCCTCCATTTTTATCTCTTCTGTTTCTTGGGAACTTCCATTTTTAAACTACAGTTTTTCTACTTAAATGTCAGTTTGTGCTACTACAGCAGGTAAACAATACAGATTCTTGAATGAAAGTAATTCCTGGCCTGTTTCAAGGATTAATAGAAACAGGCAGTAACAGTGTCTTATCAAATCTAGGAGGAACTAAAACCATTTGTGCTTCCTATTTAAATCTAGCACACATAATTTTTAGTGGATTCTAAATTTGAAAGAATAGAGTTCCCCCAGGTTGGACTCTGACGTTAGAGTGGGTTTCTGTCTCTTTTTTTGTCTCTCCTATCATGGTAAATGAATCAAGATGTAGACTTACCAAGGCAGCTGCAACCTGCTGCCCGACTTTATATACCTGCCTCTCCGTGAAGTCATACGGGATACCATCCATGGTCATTACATCCTAGAGAAAGAGAAGCAGAAAGCACATCAAACAAATGCCACAGTAGAGAAAAAGAGGGGGAATTCTGCTTCTTTCTGATGAGATTCTGGTTTCAGCAAATGGCACCATATCCATCTAACCCTTGCATCCTCCTACAGGCATCATTCTCCTTACGTGCCCCATAGCAAATTGGCATTATTGGCCCTGCTTGAGATAGTTATTCTTTATAAACATTTATAATGCTCAGGTACTGCATCAAACACAAACATGGAAGAGGTAAAAAGGTGAACGGTTAGACAATTGAAGGGTAGGTGGTACGTTGGAGGAATGGATGGTTGGTGGGGCAGGTGAGTGATATAGTGGGGATAGCTTGTGGGTAAGCAGCAAGGAAGGGGAAGTGTGACAGGAGGTGAATGACTAGGTAGAAATATGCATACATAAAAAAGCAAGAGTTGTATTGTGAATGGATGGATGGTTAGAGAAGCCTAAGGATGGATGGATTAAAAGAACCACACACGATAAAGATATCTTCTTAAATAGATGTATGTAAGAGACATGGACAGAGGTGGAGGATAGACATGATAATTGGTCTGGCATTCACTTCCTCAGACTCACCCTGCGGCAGGTCCACAAGAAATTCAGGAGGTCCCCATGGGACACATCCTCCAGGATCATATAAAGGGGCAGCTGGACTACACAACATCCTATCAGTTCAACCATGTTATCATGATGACCAAGGGACTGATGGAACTTAATCCTTCCCAGGAAATCCTTCACCTCACTGGGTCCAGCAGTGTCTGAAAGTACCAGAGAAAAAGACAGCATCACCACAGGGAGGCAAAGAAGAGAAAAGATCATATTCAATATTCTCAACACAGAATCAAAGAATGATAGGACTGGATGGGACCTCAAGAGGTCATCTAGTCCAGTCCCCTGCATTCATGGCAGGACTAAGCATTATTAGACCATGCAATACAACCTCCTTTAACATGCATATATACTGCTTGTGACTAAACCCTGCTAAGACCAAAGTTTAACCATGACTAGCTGACATAATGATTAACACTACTTGTGCTTGCCTACAGTGAATGCAAATTCATGGTCAGCATCTTGTCATCTCACACCTTTACAGGCATATTCAAATATGATTAAATTCTGTAGTGAAGTCAAGGCCATAGAGAGAGATTGAGAGGGTACACAGACAGAGAGGAATCACTGGGGGGATGCACACAGGAAAGCAGGGAGCAGTAGCTCACAGCAGAGAAAGGGGAAGCCCCTTGTGCAACTGCTAAGAAAGAAAACGGACTCAGAGCTAGAGAATGGGGAATTTCTAGTGGATTCACACAAGTGGGAAACAGAGAAGTGTATAAAAATGGAGCACTCCTGCCACCTCTGTTACCCTGTAAGGCTTTCAGGATGACTGTCTTAGTTTTCCCAGGGTTCCCAGTCTCCAATTCTGCTCTGTAGATTCCCCCAAAACTGCCATTGTGTATCAGCTTCGAGGACCCTGGTATGAGTCTGTCTCGTGGTATTTCCAGCTCCTTCAGAGTCAAGGCTGCAGATCTCAGTAGACTCTCCACAGTTGTCTCACTCAGCTGGATGTAGGTGTTCTCTGACTCACTGTGTTCCTTCTGGTTCTTGTCCTCTGCTGGCAATGGGGCAACAGCTGTTGCAAAAATAAAAGCCAAATGATATATAAGTGTTTGGGGGATGAATTTTCCTCCTTTACATTTTGCCACTGGCTATGAACTGTTCCCTTAGGCTCATGCTCTATTTTGATTTTCAGAATCATGGCTGGGGAAGTGTTATTTGATCTCAGCTAGGCCAGCCCACAAGGAGACAGAGGACTCTGCTTCCCCAGGACTCCCACCCAACTTGGCTGAGAGGCAGGAGAAACTGAGACCTGAAATCTATGGTGTATGTAACTTCTAAACCCTTGTTTTCTGGATACTGCATCTTTACACGTCTAAGAACTCTGACAGTGTGTAGATACAGCAGCCATTTTGTTCTCAGAATTGCTGTAGATTGTTACAGAGAAGAGACATACAGTGTCCTTAGAGACTTTACTTTCGTTCTTTCTTAATTCCCTTAATATATACCAATTAAAAAATACCAATTCACTTTAGACTGGAAGTACTTGTTCTGCTCTTTGTGCATGGATATAAAACAAGCTCAGATCTGGGTTTCTTGCTTTAGCCACTTTGCAAACCCCAGTTCTGTAGCGTTGCCAGCTACAATTGAGTGGACTCCTGGGAATTCTAATCTAATCGCCTTTTATGATGAGATTACTGGTTCTGTGGATGAAGGGAAAGCAGTGGATGTATAGTTTCTTGACTTTAGCAAAGCTTTTGACACGGTCTCCCACAGTATTCTTGTCAGCAAGTTAAGGAAGTATGGGCTGGATGAATGCACTATAAGGTGGGTAGAAAGCTGGCTAGATTGTCGGGCTCAACGGGTAGTTATCAATGGCTCCATGTCTAGTTGGCAGCCGGTATCAAGTGGAGTGCCCCAAGGGTTGGTCCTGGGGCCGGTTTTGTTCAATATCTTCATAAATGATCTGGAGGATGGTGTGGATTGCACTCTCAGCAAATTTGCGGATGATACTAAACTGGGAGGAGTGGTAGATACGCTGGAGGGGAGGGATAGGATACAGAAGGACCTAGACAAATTGGAGGATTGGGCCAAAAGAAATCTGATGAGGTTCAATAAGGATAAGTGCAGGGTCCTGCACTTAGGACGGAAGAACCCAATGCACAGCTACAGACTAGGGACCGAATGGCTAGGCAGCAGTTCTGCGGAAAAGGACCTAGGGGTGACAGTGGACGAGAAGCTGGATATGAGTCAGCAGTGTGCCCTTGTTGCCAAGAAGGCCAATGGCATTTTGGGATGTATAAGTAGGGGCATAGCGAGCAGATCGAGGGACGTGATCGTTCCCCTCTATTCGACATTGGTGAGGCCTCATCTGGAGTACTGTGTCCAGTTTTGGGCCCCACACTTCAAGAAGGATGTGGATAAATTGGAGAGAGTCCAGCGAAGGGCAACAAAAATGATTAGGGGACTGGAACACATGAGTTATGAGGAGAGGCTGAGGGAGCTGGGATTGTTTAGCCTGCAGAAGAGAAGAATGAGGGGGGATTTGATAGCTGCTTTCAACTACCTGAAAGGGGGTTCCAAAGAGGATGGCTCTAGACTGTTCTCAATGGTAGCAGATGACAGAACGAGGAGTAATGGTCTCAAGCTGCAGTGGGGGAGGTTTAGATTGGATATTAGGAAAAACTTTTTCACTAAGAGGGTGGTGAAACACTGGAATGCGTTACCTAGGGAGGTGGTAGAATCTCCTTCCTTGGAGGTTTTTAAGGTCAGGCTTGACAAAGCCCTGGTTGGGATGATTTAACTGGGAATTGGTCCTGCTTCGAGCAGGGGGTTGGACTAGATGACCTTCTGGGGTCCCTTCCAACCCTTATATTCTATGATTCTATGATCTATGATTCTATGAATTGGCCACTATAACCGGGAATCAAATTTGTGATACCCACACAGAATATGCCAACCAATTTAGCCTCATAGTGTTCCTAGCCATAGGACACCATGACTGGAAACTGAATCTGGATCTACTGCAGTGCAGAGTATTAACGTCCAGATGGCACTGTGGTCAGCCTACACTGGCCCTGAAGGAATTGAGGCTAAAGCTTGAAACCATGTCCCCTGCATGACAGGTTTCAAGTGATTTTACCACTACGTCATCTAACTGTACCCCCAGCAGGGTGAGATGACACAATGCTCTATGGACCTGAGTCTCCTCTATGCTACAACCTCCACCATGGCTACCATTGGTGGAGCTGTACTAGTGGTGAACTAGAGGTCCCAATTTTCCTAATGTTGACAAGGCCATTGAGTTCCAAGCTCAGGCTCTTCAGTTCTCCTTGTCTCTGACAGCCCTGGGGGTGGGAATGAGAGACTTTCCATTGAACCCAGCTCTCCCCTCTTTGTTACCTTGGCGTCTGGGCAGTTGCTGTTGCTTCGACCTCCAGCTTCGATAGCGGAGCCAAAGGATCACACCTAACAGGATGACAAAGACACCCACTAGGAAGACAGGGATGATGATCACTTCAGTCTGGTACTCACGCACAACTGTCAATGGGAAGAGAAAACGGGAAACAAAGAGTAACCGTTATTGCTCAGTGAAATCACCGTGTGTACAACACTCCCACACTGAACAAAGCCTGTACAACACCATAATAATAGTCCATTCTAGTAATTTTCAACATGAAGGAGCTATCTATCCATGCTGTGCTCATTGCAGTAGTATCTAAGCACCTCATCAACTGCTAGCCTGATTTCCAGAGGGGCTGACTATTAAGACTCCCACTGAAGTCAATGGGAATTCTTCACCTCTGAATATCAGGCCACTTCTTTAGGTGCCTTGTGGTGGATGGGATCTCCTGGCGTCCCCCACAGACCACGGTTTGGGTTGCTTCCTTCCTCTGACACTCACAGATTCCTACTCCTGCTTGGGGTAGACAAGAGTCTCTCTCAAAAAATAACAACACACACACACACACACCTTTACCCCTCTCCGGGGGCAGGGAAGACCAAAATAAAGAAAAGGGAGATATAAGGCGTTCAGTCTCATGGGCAAATCTTGGTCCCAGCTTATCTATAGGCATTTTATTGTCATGATCGGGGTAGAGTCCTTCCCTAGACCCCGGCCCCCTCCAGCTTTTTGGGAAACATCCACTCTGTACCTGGTCCAGGCAATCCAAGGATCAATGACTGCCTCCCCCTTCACTAATCTATTCCTGTAATCAGCTGTCTCTGAGGCACAATAATCTTCCCCAGTTACCAACCCTTGGATTGGTGTTCCCTTCTTAAGCTTCCTCCTCCAGGCACAGGAAGTCTTGCAGATGTGTGGACTAACCCAGAAGAGTTTATTATCTTCTTCCTCAATAGGGTGAATGCATGACACCCACTGCTCCGCCACATACTTGTATATGAAAGTGTTAGCCAGTGCATTTAGGGATCACTCACCAATGAAATGCAGCTAGCTCTGGGGTGGAGCCTGGGCAGCCATTCTATGTCAACAATGCTGTAGAACAGTGTAATTGAGGTGAATAACTTCTCCTATTAAAACATGGTGGGGGGGGGGCTGGAATATTAGAGCGGAAGAGTAAATTAACTGGTTTGGAATTTGGCCAGAATGCTGGGGTTAACATCCTTACTCTCTTGGGTTACAATACTCTGGGATACCCAGAGACCGTCGAATTGTGGAAGTCAACGAATGGCTATGCATGTGGTGTCAGAGAGAAGGCTTTGGATTCTTTGACCATAGGATGGTGTTCAAAGAAGGAGGAGTGCTAGGCAGAGACGGGCTCCACCTAACGAAGAGAGGAAAGAGCATCTTCACAAGCAGGCTGGCTAACCTAGTGAGGAGTGCTTTAAACTAGGTTCACCAGGGGAAGGAGACCAAAGCCCTGAGGTAAGTGGGGAAGTGGGATACCGGGAGGAAGCACAAGCAGGAGCACGCGAGAGGGCAGGGCTCCTGCCTCATACTGAAAAAGAGGGACGATCAGCGAGTTATCTCAAGTGCCTATACACAAATGCAAGAAGCCTGGGAAACAAGCAGGGAGAACTGGAAGTCCTGGCACAGTCAAGGAATTATGATGTGATTGGAATAACAGAGACTTGGTGGGATAACTCACATGACTGGAGTACTGTCATGGATGGATATAAACAGTTCAGGAAGGACAGGCAGGGCAGAAAAGGTGGGGGAGTTGCATTATATGTAAGGGAGCAGTATGACTGCTCAGAGCTCAAGCATGAAACTGCAGAAAAACCTGAGAGTTTCTGGATTAAGTTTAGAAGTGTGAGCAACAAGGGGATGTTGTGGTCGGAGTCTGCTGTAGACCACAGGACCAGGGGGATGAGGTGGACGAGGCTTTCTTCTGGCAACTCATGGAAGTTACTAGATTGCAGGCCCTGGTTATCATGGGAGACTTCAATCACCCTGATATCTGCTGGGAGAGCAATACAGCGGTGCACAGACAATCCAAGAAGTTTTTGGAAAGTGTAGGGGACAATTTCCCGGTGCAAGTGCTGGAGGAACCGACTAGGGGCAGAGCTCGTCTTAACCTACTGCTCACAAACTGGGAAGAATTAGTAGGGGAAGCAAAAGTGGATGGGAACCTGCGAGGCAGTGACCATGAGATGGTCAAGTTCAGGATCCTGACACAGGGAAGAAAGGAGAGCAGCAGAATACGGACCCTGGACTTCAGAAAAGCAGACTTTGACTCCCTCAGGGAACTGATGGGCAAGATCCCCTGGGAGAATAACATGAGGGGGAAAGGAGTCCAGGAGAGTTGGCTGTATTTTAAAGAATCTTTATTGAGGTTACAGGGACAAACCATCCTGCTGTGTAGAAAGAATAGTAAATATGGCAGGCAACCAGCTTGGCTTAACAGTGAAATCCTTGCTGATCTTAAACACAAAAAAGCAGCTTACAAGAAGTGGAAGATTGGACAAATGACCAGGAAAGAGTATAAAAATATTGCTCAGGCATGCAGGAGTGAAATCAGTAAGGCCAAATCACACCTGGAGGTGTAACTAGCAAGAGATGTTAAGAGGAACAAGAAGGGTTTCTGCAGGTATGTTAGCAACAAGAAGAAAGTCAAGGAAAGTGTGGGCCCCTTTGTGAATGAGGGAGGCAACCTAGTGACAGAGGATGTGGAAAAAGCTAATGTACTCAATGCTTTTTTTGCCTCTGTCTTCACGAACAAGGTCAGCTCCCAGACTACTGCACTGGGCAGCACAGCATGGGGAGGAAGTGGCCAGCCCTCTGTGGAGAAAGAGGTGGTTAGGGACTATTTAGAAAAGCTGGACAAGCACGAGTCCATGGGGCCGGATGCACTGCATACGAGAGTGCTAAAGGAGTTAGCGGATTTGACTGCAGAGCCATTGGCCATTCTCTTTGAAAACTCATGGCGATCAGGGGAAGTCCCGGATGACTGGAAAAAGGCTAATGTAGTGCCAATCTTTAAAAAAGGAAAGAAGGAGGATCCTGGGAATTACAGGCCAGTCAGCCTCACCTCAGTCCCTGGAAAAATCATGGAGCAGGTCCTCAAGGAATCAATTCTGAAGCACTTAGAGGAGAGGAAAGTGATCAGGAACAGTCAGCATGGATTCACCAAGGGAAAGTCATGCCTGACTAATCTAATTGCCTTCTATGCCAAGATAACTGGCTCTGTGGATGAGGGGAAAGCGGTGGACATGTTGTTCCTTGACTTTAGCAAAGCTTTTGACATGGTCTCCCACAGTATTCTTGCCAGCAAGTTAAAGAACTATGGGCTGGATGAATGGATTATAAGGTGGATAGAAAGTTGGCGAGATTGTCGGGCTCAACGGATAGTGATCAATGGCTCTATGTCTAGTTGGTAGCCGGTATCAAGTGGAGTGCCCCAAGGGTCGGTCCTCGGACTGGTTTTGTTCAATATCTTCATAAATGATCTGGAGGATGGTGTGGATTGCACCCTCAGCAAGTTTGCAGATGACACTAAACTGCAAGGAGAGGTAGATACACTGGAGGGTAGGGATAGGATACAGAGGGACCTAGACAAATTGGAGGATTGGGCCAAAAGAAATCTGATGAGGTTCAACAAGGACAAGTGCAGAGTCCTGCACTTAGGACGGAAGAACCCCATGCACCGCTACAGACTAGGGACTGAATGGCTCGGCAGCAGTTCTGCAGAAAAGGACCTAGGGGTTACAGTGGACAAGAAGCTGGATATGAGTCAACAGTGTGCCCTTGTTGCCAAGAAGGCCAATGGCATTTTGGGATGTATAAGTAGGGGCATTGCCAGCAGATTGAAGGACGTGATCGTTCCCCTCTATTCGACATTGGTGAGGCCTCATCTGGAGCCTCATGTGTCCAGTTTTGGTCCACACACTACAAGAAGGATGTGGAAAAATTGGAAAGAGTCCAGCAGAGGGCAACAAAAACGATTAGGGGACTAGAACACATGACTTATGAGGAGAGGCTGAGGGAACTGGGATTGTTTAGTCTGCGGAAGAGAAGAATGAGGGGGGATTTGATAGCTGCTTTCAACTACCTGAAAGGGGGTTCCAAAGAGGATGGATCTAGACTGTTCTCAGTGGTAGCAGATGACAGAACGAGGAGTAATGGTCTCAAGTTCCAGTGGGGGAGGTTTAGGTTGGATATCAGGAAAAACTTTTTCACTAGGTGGGTGGTGAAACACTGGAATGCATTACCTAGGGAGGTGGTAGAATCTCCTTCCTTAGAAGTTTTTAAGGTCAGGCTTGACAAAGCCATGGCTGGGATGATTTAGTTGGGGATTGGTCCTGCTTTGAGCAGGGGGTTGGACTAGATGACCTCCTGAGGTCCCTTCCAACCCTGATATTCTATGATTCTATGATTCTCATATAAAGTGATAAGTACCTTCAACTGCCCATGAAATTAATAGGGGCTGGTGGGGCTTGGCACCTACCACTGTCGGTCCCTTGAAAAATACCATGCGATCTTTAAAGACCATATGTGGTCAAGACCTCATCTATATATCTCAACCAAAATATGATTTCCCCTAACCTCCTGCAGGGGCATTGATTTCAGTAGTGATTCAGAAAGAAGAGATTCTCCTAATGAGTCACAAACAGCATTTCTTGCAGCATCTGGGTTTCCCTTGGTGATCTGCCAGAACAGTTAAGGCTGCCAAGCCTGCAGATGCAGGGCATCCCAGTGAGAATGCTTTTGTGTTGTTTATTTCTTATACTCTAGTGCAGGGGTGGCCAACCTGAGTCTGAAAAGGAGCCAGAATTTAACAATATACATTGCCAAAGAACCACAGTAATATGTCAGCAGCCCCCCATCAGCTCCCCCATCCCAGCATCTCCCAGCCATCGGCAGCCCTGCCAATCAGCGCCTCCCCCTCTTTCCCCGCACCTCCAGATCAGCTGTTTCGTGGTGTGCAGGAGGCTCTTGGGGATGGGGGAGGAGCAAGGTCAAGGCAGGCTCAGGGGAGGGGGCGGGAAGGGGTGGAGTGGGGGCAGGGCCTGTAGCAGAGCCAGGGGTTGAGCAGTGAGCACCCCCGGCCCACTGGAAAGTTGGCGCCTGTAGCTCCAGC